TTGCCCCCATCCTATAGCCCCTTTCCCTGCCCCCTCGAACATCCCACTCTGCAGGTTCTCCTACCTGTTGTGGCTGCGCCCCAGGCTGCAATTGTCTGCTTAAAAGCGCTCATTCTGTCCACAATGAAGCCACATAACTTGGCCGCAGTTACCGTCTGTTATCCATGGCCCACGGAGGAGTACCTCGTCCCCCTCCGATGTGATGATTTATTGTGGATCCCTGGATCCCCTAGTTCCTCGGGTCCTATGTTCCTTTGGCGAACCCAGCACGGTAGCTGCGGCTCCTCTCGCCGAAACCGAATTGAAACTTTATTTAATAAGTTGATGTTATTTGTTAACTGCGCTGCGCGAAGGGCGCTTCAAGGAGCTCAACTGAGTTATGTGGCTGGAACAGGGGAAGAGGGGAACAGGGGCTTCGTCTAACGCTGGCCAGTGTACACCCAGAAAAACAGGACTTGTGAAAGGCAGAACGGCGATCATGAGCCAATTTTTTATAGCTCTGCTCTTGTTCAACCTTCATAAATGAATACAAATGGTATTATAGAGAGGAGCCAAGCCAAAACAGAACTGAAATCAAAATATGTAGCTAGAAAGTTTAACTATTAAGTATAAATATCTAGAAAAAAAGTTAAAGTTGTATTAAGCAATTTGTATTTAATAACAAACGCTATACCTTATGAAAGACATCGATTGGCATTAAATTTTTAAAGATTTATTTTGGTCCTAATATTGCCAGGATATGGAAAGTTTTACCTTTCAATTCGGTTGGCACTTAAACGTGTATATAGAACAGAAATCTTTACAATAATTTTTGTGTAATCTTTTATGCAGACAGACAGACTCTTTGTCAAAACTCGCAATTTTTATGCTTTGTCCATTATTAAAAAAATCTTTGTTAAGCCCTCCCAAAAATTGTAAATTATGAACAAAAACCGTATTGTCTGGATTCTTTTTTAGAAGTAATGGAATGTAAAAACTTCTTAATAAAATAAAATCATTTTTAAGCCTGTAAAAGGCAGCAGCCGCAGATTGACATCGATTTGACCAATAATGGAATTCATTTGCGGACGCACTTGACCCCATTGGGATCGGATCGGACCTTCTACTTCTCCACCTGCCCAATCCTGCGGCGATTTGTGCGTGTGTCAGATGAATTGCATTAGAAAGTCGGTACGGGATCGACGGACGGACGGACTGGCGGCTGGCACTTTAATCTGAGCCGCGGCACACTTGCTGACAAATTGCTGATAAATAAAGCGAGAGATTTGCAATAATGCCTTTCTAATTTCATGCGTCGCCATCGAGTTGCCATCGAGTTGGCATCGAGTTGGCTCCTGGCCATTGGGCATGCAAAGCGCACAAAAAAAAGCTCCAATCCTGGCATGGCGCCTCCATTGAGATCGGCAGTCGGTCCGTGTTTCCATCCACATCCATATCCATGGCCCCTGCTCCGGCTCCGGCTGAGGCTCAGTTTTAAACATTTTCCACACGTAACGCGAAAGTTTGAATCATTTGTCCAGCGCACTACGCAGCGATTTTCATTTAAAATTCTTGTCACAGACATGTAATTGCAACGCGCCAACCACATCGTCGATTCCAAGTCCAACTTCGATTCGACTCCATCGCTGTGGGCAACTCGGGAGCACTGGGAAAAATTATAAAGATACTTCTTTTGATTCTTTAAAAATACATTATCTTGAATAAGATCAATACATTTGATTTTTAATTATATTTTAATTATTTTAAAAATATCCATCCTGTTACACTATTTTGGCATGAATGCCTTTAATGTGGATAAACATAAATAAAGTAAATATTCAAAATACCTTAGGCCTATTCGAAATCAGAAATAAAAGTATTAAAATAAATTTTATTTAATAATTAATTATTGGATAATATAATATAAATACGACCACACAAATGTAAAATTACACATTTAAAATTTTAAGTAGACCAAATGTTGATACAGTTTTTTGTCTTTGTGCAGACGGATCTATAGGTATTGACAATACTTTTGTCAGGCGCGATGGCCGCTGCCCCCTCACCTCCCCTCCCCTTCTCCATCCCCTGCTCCACTCCCCCATTCACCCGCTCCTCCCATCTCCCCCACCCGCTTATGTCCCCTTGCCCCTTGCCATCTTGCTGGCGCTCTGTGTTGACACAGATAAGTGCGTGGCGGCGGCGATAAGTAGCGTTTTATGCATTAATTTCTGCTCAAAAGAGCATTATTTATTACGCATTAATGCGCTGAATTAACGTTTATTTAATTAATATTAATGCGGCCGCTGTTCTTGCGGTTTGCTGCAGTAGTTGTTTCTGTCGTGCTGCAGCAGTTGATGTTGCATTTTGGCACAGATTTTTGGGTCAGACTTCGCCGGAGCAGTCCTGTTAAAGATTGTCAATAAACGGTTAGTTAACTCTGTAATCTAGTCATGTTTTTGATTTTAGAAAGGAAGCATTATCTGTTTTTGTATGTTTTAATTATTAATAAAATTTAAAACATACAGGATTTTTCATTGCGATAAACTTTTTTATATTCTTTGTTCAAATTAGTTACTGTTTTAACAAAAAATTGAGTAAGAAAATCCACAGCAAAGGTTATTTTCACTTTGACAGTTAAACATTAAAAAAAAATATTCCAAATTAATTATTTAATGTATAAGTTAAACAAAAATATGGGATTCTTTTTTCGAACCAGTTTTGTTTTGGGTTGAAAAAAAGTATTTTGTAAAATGTTAACGCGGAGAATCATAGATTTTACAGGACAGGATGAGATTTTGGAATTTATTCAACAGAATTTGGTAACTTTTAGTTTCAGGGAATATTTTTGATAAATTGTTTAGACATGCGTCATACCACTTGGATACGCTGAACCAGAACTTTATCGCCGCTGGCCTGCGATGATCCCCAGCAGTGACCCTCGAGTTGTGCAAATATTTTACCACAATTCGAAGTGGCCGTCGATCTGGGATCCGAAAATGAAATTGAAATCGAAAGTAAAGTCGTCAGGCAAATATAGGCACATCACTCGCTGGCCCCGAGGAGATATCCGAAAAGGAAACGGGCGTTTCGATGGACAAATATTTGCGCCATACCGATAAGGCTTCTTAAGGGTCTCCTTTTTTTTCGGGGTAATCGATCAGTGTCATGCGGGGGTGGGGGCGTGGACCTCGCTGCGCAATAAGCCCAGTAATTTATAGACCAATCACAGGCCCAGTGCACGCACCGCGAACAAGTGAAAAAATCATAGTCCAAACACACATAACGCATTAGAGGCGATCTTGGCCGGAGGAGCAACTTGTACTCTATGGACTCCGTGGACTGCATGGACTGCATGGACTCTTGTGGATGGGGGTGCAATTTATAGGATAGACAACGCACAGCGGGTAGTCGCCAAAGTCCCGAGGAGCTGCATCCCAGTACTTGCCTCATTGCCAATTGATTTATACAAACGGCAAAGCAACGGAACACAAATTGGCTGCCTCGAAGATCTTTCTTTTCTTTTTCTTTTTTTTTTCTTTTCTTTTCCTCTATTTTGTATTTTTGTATTTTTTATTTCACGAAACCGACCGGCTATGGGAAATGATTTGTTGCACTTTGGCTGCAATCACAGCCGCTGTTGCGTATACGCAGAACTCTTTGGGCCCGCTGCTTAACCTTTTGACCTCCTCGCTGGGAGGGATCGAATGGGCTGAAAAATATACGATACGATATACAGTATATAATTTAAGTTGAAGAACCAAACACGTGTGGCTCGCTTTTCGTTGGAAAACATTAGCGATATGATCGCTTTGCATGCCGGCTGCGTAGCTAATTAGAGCCTTAAATGGCGAAACCGAGGCAATCCCCCGGCGGAAAGTGAGATTGCCGCCAGGCGTTGGCAAAAAATGCCACACAAATGACAGCGGACCCGTTGCCCGCCGTTTTTGGCCAACGAAGTCCAGGTGGGAAACGGGATAGACGGCCAGACAAACACCAGTTTATCGGGCCGAAACGACCCAAAACAATAAATTACGCAATCCAAATGCTCAACTGCAGTCCATCAATGGCATAATGAGGCAGTCCCGAGATTCAGAGTCCCAGTCCCAGTTGCCGTCGCAGTCGCAGCGTAGATGCATTACCATATCGGCATAAATTCCGGAGCACATCGTTAAGTGGGCTGACGAGTGGCCGGCATTGGAGAAGAACAGGCTTACAGGTTGCTCTCTGCTTTGCTTCTTGCTGTCTGCCTCATGTTGCATGTTGCAGGTTGCAGGTTGCTCATAGCTGGTTGCTGGTTACTGGTTGCACACTTGCCACATGCCAAGCTGCCAGGCGTCTGCCTCCACCAAACTCCCACAGCTAATGAGGGAATTACCCGCAATGCCAATGCCACATCGCCATCGCCATCGCCATCGATAATGGCTTGTGCCCGGCATCGGGTGAGGGTTAAATCAGTGGGTGGCGAACCTGACCTTTGGGGATGGCGCCCGGATGATGGGCTTTAAAAGGCACTCAAACAAGAACTCAACTCATTGCCTTAATGATTCGGTCATCTGCAGTTCAAAGTTCCAAGTCCTGTACTCGAATTGGGTAGGAATATTTGTTAAAGCACAGTAATCAAGCTTCCATAACGAAAAACCCTTTCTTAAAGTGTTAAAACATGAACAATTTTTATAGGGAATATTTTTTCAAAACAAGAGTGTTGAAAAATCAACCCACAAAGCAAATATATTCAAAAGTGCAAGACGCTTTGTAAAAAGATATATTTATAAATGAAATATGCTATTTCTATTCTCAGTCATTCTCAACAGTTTATATAATTTAATTAAGTTTAAGTTATTTAAATACTACAATTTACAAGATTATATCATGTTAGTTATTTCTATTCTGAAAATACGAAATATAAATAGTAATAAAACTGAGATAAGTATCTAGCGGTTAGTAGAAGTAATATATTTAAAAGCGTTTTGAATTTTACTTTCTCGCTCATCAAACTGGAGGTAGAATATCTTAATAAATATTGTATAGTTATACATATATTTCTTCGAAACAAAGTTGTTACATATAAAGCTTTGTGAAAATAGTTACCGAGAATATAACTTTAAATTTTGATGCATAAATGGCCAAAGTAGTTTTAAAAATTTGTTAAACTAAAATTCCTGTAACCACATTTGTTACCTTGCAAAAATATTACAAATACGTATTCCAATCGATGTGGCTTAGAAATATCTAAAAGCCGGTTCCTCGGCAGGTGCACCTGTAGCTACATTAATGGCGGTGGTAAGCACGGTGGTGTTGCCTTCGGTGGAGACCATTTCTTCGGTAGTTGTATCCTCGCTGCCACCGCCATACTCCTCAATCATGTCTATTATGGAGAAGATTGTGCCCTGGATTAGGATCACTAGGCCAATGACTACGATAAGTATGTCCTTGACGAGCTTCCACTTCAGCTTGCCATAGCTATAGTCCGGCGGATAGTACAAACAAATCTCGATCAAGGCGGGAAAGACCAGATTCAGCAGTGATATGGTAAAGGCACCGACCAACGACAACAGAGGACCCAAATTGGGGACAAGTATCCCATTGACTGTGGTGAGCAAGACGAAAATAACCCGGAGGATCAGCTCCTTCAGCACCGCATGCTTCAGCTCGCCCTTCTTGTTCCAGTATTGGTTCATTATAATGTTGATGACCACGTAACCCGACAGTGGATAAGTCAGGAATATGGAGGTGGCTATAAATGCCTTGGACACTTGCGCAACGCTGGGTATTTGGTTTGTTGTTAGTTATCATTTTAAATTTATCTAAACATTATGTTCACTTGTGCTACTGTACATATTTTAATACGATCTTAGATAAACACATTAAAAATACCAATTCCAAATTCTTATATTAATGCCAGGAACCGTAATAAAGTGATATTTTAAACTTTTATTTTAAAAGTCCTACTATAATATTTTAAATCAATTATTAAGGTCCCTGATTAAAACACAAAACTGAATTTGATATTATAAATATAATATAAATCTTTGTAAAAAAATTTAAATTTAAAATAAAATTTTTAGACAAGCAATCTAATCCACATAATCGTATTAATTTTTTCGGTGTTGTTTAACTTACACTTCATTTGTGGGAATGTTGAGTGTGACACTGTCAGCTGTTTGGTCCCCGTAGCGCCAATAGCCCATGATTCCGAAGAAAATATACGAGACTAAGACCAGAATTATGGCCAAATTGAGAACGCCGAACCAACCGATGTAATGTTGCGGCTTGGCCATCTGGGCTTCGATGGCCAACATCTTGCGAATTATTTAAACTTGTTACAGGCATTGCAAAGATATTGGTATTATTCCAAGGACTTACCACTCCAACCGAAGTGATGGAGAATAGTGCGATGCCAAAAAATAAAGGCAACTTCTCCACTGCTCCAAAGAAGATTGCTCGTTCCGTTATGGGCGGAAGATCCACGAACAGGTAGTACATCATCATTAGAAATCCGACATATATGAGGATATTGGCCAGTATGTTAAAGGGTATCAGATACTTCAGCTGGCGTATCATGAAGGGGGCCATCAAGAGAAGTCCGATGACGGCAACAAACGCTCGCAGATCCCACACTCCCACATAGTAGTCGAAAAGCTGCTTGTAGTTGACTGCCACAAAGACCGAGTAGACCACACAGACGCCGTAGTGCGAAACACACAGTACTATATCAACTATCCAGCCTCCTGCTTTGGCGCAATACCGGAAGCACTTGGGTCCCTGGCCAAAAGAGTAGACCATCGCTTCCGGGAAGGTGGCATAGCCAACCTCCATGCGTCTGGAGCACTCCACCATGCTATAAACCTTCACAAAACAAAATGTGTAAAATCGAAAACATACTTCCAGGTTAACCCACCAGCAACTGAATACCATGGATCAGCATGAAGGAAACCAAGCAGAGCAACACCACGCCATTGACTATGCCAGCGTAGTAAAAAGCCAAGGGCAAGGCCAAACTTCCAGAACCCACCACGCACTTCAGTAGCAAGACAAATGCCCCAAAATCACTGCAAAAAACCATACTGATTAAGGAATAAATAGTTATGAAAAACTTACGATATCGGCTTAGCCACATTTCGATTTTCATAAGGATTATAGCCGCTGTGGATTAGAAGCTTAGTAGTAAAAGGTGAGAAATCTCTGCAATTCTCTTTACCCTTTATCGGCCATGTTGAAAAATGATGTCTGTATATTAAAACATGTGAAAATTGTTTGAATTATACAAATTATTTAGACGTGACGTTATTCACAACGGAGTTTTATTTTAGGGTAAACACTAATCATAGTTCATAGCTAGCTTAGTTTTCTGGGTAAGGCAATAAAATAAAAAACTTTTCTGATGTCATTTGTTTCATCTATGGCCTCCACCTTGAATATATAAATTTTAATAATTAGAAACATTGGAACAAACATTTTTAAAAAATATAATTGAAGATTTATTTCCTATTATGTTATTTATTGTACCGTACTTTTAATATATAAACAATAAATTTAATTTGCTTGTGCTATGTTTATTATATTATCTTTATCAAAAATCCGTCTTAATATGTACAACATTTTTAAACTACGATGGGAAAGCGAGCTTGGAGGGTTTGTAGGGTAACTACTGTACCAGCAACTCCGCCAGCCAAGCCCACAAAAATGAAGAGCATCGATCGGAGAAGAAGGATCCTCCCAGGTCCGTATCCCAAATCATATTGGACGCAGATGTCCACGATTCCCGGCAGGATCAGACCCAGTTGGGCCAGGCAAAAGGATCCCACGAAGGCGAGCAGCAGCCCAAAGTCCGGGTACTGGATTGCCATCAGCACCGACGCGATGACCAAGGCGATTCGCACCAAGAACTCCACTGCCTTGGAAGCTCCATCCTCCAGTTCCGGCTCCAGATAACTCCTGAAGATTATGTCCACCGTTATATAGCCCTGCAGGGAATAGCTAAAGAAAATTGCCAGGGCAAACATTGCAGTCACCAGCTGGGAAAGTCTATAAAAAAAGTAGGAAGTTATTTGATGCATGTTAAGGCGGTGCGTTAAAACCCATATTCCCCTGGATTAAAAGAACTCACATTTTGTTTTGTGGAAGGTTTTGCAGAATCGAGTTTTCCGTATCTTGTCCATACCGCCAGTAGCCAAAAAAACCAAAGACCGCATAGAAAAAAATTACCACGAACATACCTTGATTTAAAACTCCACAAGGGCCAAGAAAATTCTCCGGTGTTCGCATACTGCGTCCAAGGGCTAAAATCTTTAAAAGATATGACAAATATTATAGTAGTCTATAGAGTTCTTAAAAGATCAATCATTAACCCACCACTCCAACTGATTCGATGGCAAATAGCACAGTGCCAAAAAACAAGGGAAAGTTCCGCAAGGGCTGAAATGCTTTAAGTTCTTCAAATCGAGAAAGTCCCCGAAACAAGTAGCCTAAAATTATAAAAGATCCTACGGCTTAAGGTAGTAAGTTAAGAATGTAAGATATAAGAGGTATCAAAAACACACCAACGAATATCAAAATGTTGGCTATGAAGGCGAATGGCAGAAGACTCTTGAGATCCCGTATTATAAACGTTAAGATCAATGGTAAGATGAGCAGGGCCATATAGAGTCTCTCATCCAAGGGCCACAAATAGATATCCCCTAAATGCTTGAGACTTTTGGCCACAAAGACCACATAGACACAGTCCACGCCAAAGTGATATCCACAGAGCAGGATATCCACTAGGTACCTAAATATGAAAGATTAATTATTATCATATAGTTATAATTATGGGAAGAAAATTATATTTTAAGTCCGAATTCCAACCAAAAGTCCTGACAAAATGTTGGTTGGCACTTGGTTATAGATATTTTCATACCCAAAGGGTTTACTTAGAAACTGAAACTTTGGTGGTCCATTGCTGACAGCCAATTCCACGGATTTTCGATAAGTGAGTAATGGGATTTCAAAGCGAGCTCCCAAGAAATTGATATGTCTAAGCTGCAAAAGAGAAAGTTTCCAATGAAAAGTTATCGGGAATTGATAAAGTATAGCTACCAGAATATGCATGGCATAGAGTACAAAGGAGCTGAGAACGACAGTGCTTATAAGGCCCATCAGCCAACCAGAGTGCATGAAAGCCTTTGGCATGGCCAAACAGCCAGTACCGAATCCACACTTTAGCACATTGATAAAGGTCTGGAAATCGCTAAGATTTAAACAAGTTTGTCATATTTATTATAATGCACTAAAGAAGCAGAGTAATGTGCTTACGACATTGTATTATCACCTGCCAATTGCAATCGAACTTGATGGGCCAGCGGTGATCTGTGGCAGATTCCTTAGTGAAAAACCCTCAATTACTCCCTCTGAACTTGACTCACCCGAAACTCTTTTGGACACCGCCTAGGAGCCTCTGGTGGAAGGGCAGCTCCTGGCTTAGGCGTCGCTGACTAGCAAAACTCCTCTTCCTACGCTCCATTTCAGGAAAATTGAATCACTCGAAAGGGAATTATTATTATTTTTCAGAGGGCAAGTCAGCGCCGACTTTGGTCTGCAATTATGCAAATTTGGATCACATGTATATCCCTCCGGCTATGATCTCTGGCTAAGATCTGGAGCTGGAGTGGCTGGACAAGGGCCATCTTCCAGGAAGGGTGGAGATGGAGGCATTAGCATGGCCCTAAGCAGCGACTTATTCCCGGAAAGATCGAACTCTTCTCCCCAGATGTGTGGGCGTTGTTGGCCTGGCCAAGGAATTCGCTACCTAAATTATGCAATGGCCCTCGAGCTCTTGGGCAAACTAATTAGTGTGGCTGGTATGGGCCGTTTTTCAAATGCCGAACTCTAAAACCCCCCCACCCTCAATCGGCACCTAGCCATAAATTCACCGGCCTTGGGACGGACAAACTACAGTTTCTAGTTAAGGATTCCCCACTTCTCACTCCCTTTGTCATTGTGTGGGGCCGACTGCCCGCTGTGAGCCACCTCCTCCTCCTTCTCTTTCTCCTTTTATTTTGCAGTGCCGAATCGAAAATGCAAATGTCCAGTCGCCCGCGAAAAGTAAGTACTCTCAGGGGGCCAGAAGTCATATAAGCTGATTTGTTTATTTTACTCTTTCTTCTTGATAATTTTTTGTATTTTTTAAGGCTGTGTTGATAGCCAAGCCTTGACCTCTAACTTGAATCGTGTAGCTAATCGTGGCGTGGTGAACTGGTGATTATACCCTGCAAATAAATAGATTTGCTGTGAAATCAAGTGACACAATTCCTCCAGACACAACATTATGATAATTTCTGGCGTAATCTACGACTTCCTCAAATGAATTCTTGCAACACTTGAAAGCATTGAATTATTTATATTATGTAAATGGTTGTAAGACAATGATGACGTGCTATTGAAAATGGTTTCTCGATAGAGGCCAAAACATAAGTTTTTTTTTTTTTATATATTATAGTTTTTTGTATAAAAGTAAATAAGCTTACATGTTTTTTCGGATTTTTGTAAAATTCTAAATATATAATAGTTTATTATTATTAATTATATACTTCTCCGCTTGATCCGTTCCCTCATGTTTAAATTAACATGAAGCTAAGAAGATAGTAGAAACCTGATATTTTTCTGCGTGCAGGTAGTGAATGGTTGATGTTGCTGCTGCTGCTGCTGCCGTTGATGTTGCAGTTGCAGTTAGATGTGGCGCATCATTAAAGTGCAGACAAATGGCAACTCGGCATGTGCCGCACATGTCAGTCTGCACAAGCTTTAGCAACAGGTGAAAATGCTGGAATTCTGATTATCCACTGCTTCTGCAGTTGCTGTTGTTGCTGTTGCTGTTGTGGCTGCTGTTGCGGTGATTGGCAGCCACTGTTGCTGCTGCGGCAGCAAACTTAAACTGTAACTTTCAGCGATTTGTCGTCGTTGTCGTGGTCGTTGCCGTTTTCGCTGTCGTTCTTCCACTGCCACTTTGATGTTGGCCAAAACAAAACTATCGAGCAGACAACCAGCAGCAGCAACATGCGCATAATTATCTACAAGCCCGCCGGCAACATGGGGTGCAACATTCCGCCGGCCACGCCCCCAATTCAATTTACAGCCGGAAGTGTGGGTGTATACTTATTTGATATACATTCGCCGTCCGATCGCTATTCTCTGTTCTCTGTTCTCGGTTCTCTGTTCTCCTTTCGCGAACTCATTTGCTGGTTCATAAATCAAAAATCGCAGCAGCAACTCCCGCACAAAAAAAAACAAAAATAAAACCCAAATCAACAGTATGAAAAACGCATTTAATGATTGGCGAACAGCAGCAGCAGCAACAGCGCTCGACAAGCAGCAACATCGAGAGCAACAGCAACATAATAGGCCCATCTAGAGGCAACATTCGCGTACCAGCAAAAAGTGGGAGGATGCAGTGAATTTTCCCTCGCCCCGCAGTGATGGTTTTTTTTAATGCCATTTGTTGCTGCCGCTGTAGATGTTGCTGTTGCTGTTGCTGCTGCTGCTGCTGCTGTTGTTGTCGGGCCGTTTGCCTTTTTGGGGCCCGTGAGGCATTCGCCTAAGCGGCAGGTTCCTGTCTGCCCCATCCAAAGCGACGTTGACTGCATTTTTAAGCGCGCTCCGCGCATAAAATAAAGCCAGATTGCAGGTCTTGCCTCGGGGCCATCATCCTCCTGTTTGCTGCTTGAATGGGGCGAGTAAAAGTGCAGGATGCTTTGTTGTCCTGCCCCTGGACCCAGCCCATCCAGTGCCCAAACTCCGCCACTCGGAAGAGCTTCTGCAGATACGGCAGCTAATTTTCGATGGGCAAAAAAACAAAAACAAAAACAAAAAAAAGAACAAGAGGAGCATCTGAGATCTTCGAGCGATAATGATGCAGGTTAATCATTAGCCTGGTACGTGTATTATGCGATTATTAGTTGGGTGTTCGGCTCTTACTTCATCTTCATCTTCATCTTCCCTTTTGCCGGGGATTACCCGCAAGCCCCTATTTTTGGTGGGCGTTGTGCTCTGCTTTTCGAGAATTTTTCAGTAATTTCCAATTTCCGCTCGATGTTGCATCTACATGCGCCCAATTTGTCAACGCGGCGGCAGCATGTTGCTGCAACATGTAAGTTGTCAACGTTTTTTAAGAATCAATTGCCGCCCAGCAGTAGTAGTGCTGGAAATCCGATATCGTATGTACCGCCTTCTCGGCTGCCGTCTGTCAGCATATAGGATATACCATATTGCATTTACACATATATATATATTGTAGATAGAACCGCCGGATGCCACACAAGCGGTTCGAAAAGGCGGCCTTGAACGGCCAAAGCACAAGTAAAGTACTTGGTAAAAATCATTGCTGAATTTAAATGAGCCAAGCACACACACTCACACACACACACACACAAATATTTTGAGGGCAAAAAGCGCGCTCAACTGACGTGCAACATGATTTTGTAGGCGTGCAACATGCGCATGCGCAACAGCCGCAACTTTATCAGATTCAGCGCTCTTTTTAGCATTATTTCTGTAATTTTTTTCGCCTGCCTCGCCGGCATCTTGTTGACTGTCAATTGTTTTGTGGGCGTTGCAGCAGCAGCAGCAGCAGCGGCAGCCAGACCAGCAACTAGCAACAATAGTCGGGGCAGCAACAGCAACAGCAGCAACATACAGAGTGTCCCACAGTCTGTAGCCAGACTTTTGAAGCTATATCAATGTCAACAGCATTATCACACTGCGCTGTCAATATGCAAATGCCTAGAGCAAACCCAGCGACAACAGCAACAAGCACTTGCCAGCCCAAGTAGCAACAGCAACACTAACAGCAACAACAACTACATTCGCCAGCAGAAAGACAAATAAATGCCTGTTGCAGGCGATTGTTTTTCATGTGTGCGTATGTGACACTCGTTAACACGAAGCGAAAATGCGCGAAATGCGATATTTCACACGATTTATGCACGGACAACGACAAAAGTTGCAACTGCAAGGGACAGCAGCAGCAGCAACAGCAGCAGCAGCAACAACAACAGCGAAAGTCGCAGGAGGAACAGCAGACCACACACATTGCATGTTGCCGGTGGGACAGCTTAAGTTGCTGCTGCTGCTGCTGCTGCTGGTGGAATATGAAATACGCAGCAACTGCGTCCGAAAGCAACCCTCCATTTGTTCAACTTAATTTGGACTCCCAGGAAAACCGATTGGAAAGTGAGTAATTTTCAAGCACCAGAACTTCATATAGATCGTTTAGAGAGTTGCTGACAGCAATTGGTGCTGCTGTTGTGTCAATATTGCACAAGGGCAATGTGATATTGATAGTTGCCTTGTAGAGGAACATGAATTTGTCAGATGCACTTTAACGGTTAATTCATAAGAGAAAAGTTAATAACAGTTTGTACAATACTTAAAATATAATAATTTTATATAATATAAAAAATTAAATATTATTTTCCATTTCCAGAGAAAGATTTAAAAAGAATTATGCGATTTTTGGCCTTAGGCACAAATATATAATAAACTTGTACTGTTAATATGTACTCCATACTATTTCTTTAATAAAATATATTAAAAAATGTATAAACATATGAACATTAACATATAAAAATTTTTTAAAATTAAGTCCATATAAATATTTGTATTTATTAAGACCGATTTTCAATAAGTAAATACTATTTATTTTAAATTTTATGTATTGTTAAATATTTTTTGATTAAATACTAATCTAAACTATATGAAAATTAAAGACTTCCGTACTTTAATAAGAAAGACATTGGCCTGTGCAAATGACATACTAAAAATATGTTTTTATACCAATAAATCAATAGTAGGGGCACTGATAAAATACCAGAAAAATAGCCAATCCATGTAAGACACTGATAAGAACTGATTAGACCCCTTGGAATAAATCAGTGGTGCCATATCCCACGATGTTGCAGTTGCAGCAGCAGCAATGCGACGTGTTGCTGGCGTGCCAACGGCAACCAGAAAACGGAAAAAGAAGAGGCACTTTAGAGTGTAACCGCTTTAGGAGTAGGAAGCTGATTAGCCAGATCGGAGCTGCCAAACCAAACAGTTGCGATTGCTAATGGCCAGGTTGCTAGTTGCTGGCGTGCTAATTTGACAGCCGGGCCAAGTTGCAGCGAGGGAGAGAGTGACTGTGACTGTGGCTCCGTCGAGATTTATGCGCTGCCAATTGGCTGTGCCAACATTTGCCCATATACATAATTGAAACGTAATAAATTCTGTGATGTTGCTGCTGCTGCTGCTTTTCGTGCACAATTAGCGGCTTCAACATGGTGGCAACTAACGACAATTGCTGACCATTTTCCATGACTCGCTGTCCGATTATTAAATAAATAATTTCATAGCGCTAGTACGAGCATAGTGGCTAGTGGATACTGCCTTTGCTGGTTTTACAAGCTGTAAAGTGCGAAATCAACACGCTTCATGCCAACTACAGATCGCTGAAACCAGGGAGTACTCGTACTCGTACTCGTACTCGTA